TAAATACTCTTGTGTATTTTGGGGGATGCAGGCTTCTACTTTCAGGTGCCTACGGGTCTATGGCAAACTCTCTCCCGAGTTGAACATATCCGTTGGTGTCACGCTAGGGCACCCATCGTCGTCCTTGTTCTTCGTCTTCGCAGTATATATTCGGCTTGAAACCCTTAACCTCTGTCAAACACCAAGCAGTTGCTCACAGCCCTTGAATACTATCAACGTTTAATAGGTTTAAACCTCTAGGGAAGCAAACAATTCTAAATGAGCAAATGATCTTATTGCGTGATGTGAAACACGCTGTACAGATGCATAGCTTAAAGCACTATTGCAAGACCCAGCAAGGTTAAATATATGCACCAAGCTTGTTGGTAAACTAAACAGTTCAGTGGGTAATTTGGTCTGTTTCCGCAGCCATATATTTTAAGGGCTTTTTGACGTGGTTTAGTGGCCCCAACATATATGGGTATGTTACGTTACCAATAACACTCCTGCTTCACATCTACCACGCACAATGCGTAGCTGCCTTACTTCACACTATTTAAAAAAAACAATGCAAAATCACAGGTTCGATTATGCCACCTTTAAAGCGTATCTGCTATTTTTACAATTTTTATCTTTGGAGAGCATAACTGTAGCAGCCGAAACCACTGCACTTTGGTTTGTGGTTTATTATGAACAATTAAACAGATTAAAGGGAACGGATTTCGATGGAACCTATCTTAGTAATGGCAGGGAGTATGGCAGCTGCAGGTGTTCCCGAGTGCTTCAAAACCACAATTCCGATTCTTATTCAATCTCTCTAGGTCGTAATTTGTAAAGTAAAGTAGACTTCCAGATTATTTGCGAGGATTTATGAGAACTGCATTCCTATTAACATGCATTTTCTAGGACTCGTGTCCACTTCCTTAAGTATTTGCTATTTACCAGGGAACAGGTGTAAAGTTTACTTACATGCTGACTAATTTTCCTCCGTGCGTGAAGTCAGCTATCCTGTTCAGAGGACTCAAACTGGCTTAATTTCAATTGCTATTTTGTATCAATGTTGCACTTACTTAAGCGTTTCCACAAAACTCAACTGCATAACTTCCGCTAAATTGTGATGTTTATGTGTTCCAACCCATGGCTCGCGGATGACTGGTCAATACAGCATTAGTGATAATAAGCCAATTCATGATGATCAGGATGGAAGAAGGTTGTCGATTTTGTCATCTTTTGCATTTGTTGTAACCACCTGATCATCCCACGTGGTTCTAGAGCTTTATAAATAGTTATACTAGCGTAGCATAACTATCACGTGATTACCCAAATCAGCTGGCAAAAAGAAACGTACCAAATTGGTAAACCTTAACATTTTTAATTTTCCAACAGTACCAACAGTCCCTACAATATGTCGTTTTCAGTTGTTTCTAGTGATAACTGCAAAGGTGAGATACTTGTTAAGTTACATGGAAATCAAAGTCATCCTTTTGAATGTAATGTAATTATTCTGTACAGCTTTGGACTAAATGCAATAAATTAATAATATATCACATAACATCCCATATCAAAGAGTCGGTATAAATTCCCAGAATTTTTATGCAGCCTTTGTTTAAAAAAGTAGAGTCTCTTAGTTCCATCGTACTGTCATAGTGACGAAACTTTGAGAATAACTAGTTCGAAACAGTGGCCTATCGTACTTGCACGTGATATTACCAGAAAAAATTGTCCAACGGATATGCAACTATACTAACTTATCTGTGACATCCTAATCGATCCTGTTTTTTTATTATATCAACAAACAAACCGGAATAGTTCCCTGGCAGCAAAAATCTTTCTGTGTTTCTTTTGTTGCCTCGAGTTTGATCTAAACGAGTTAGGCTTTCTTGGCATGGTATCACACAGGCGTACCGCATAATTTTGACATCCAAAGCGGGAGCAAAACCACTTAGCACTTACAGATGAATCACTACGAATTTGTTGACCCTGGGATGTCTTGAAATTTGTGTGGATACATTCTGTGTGCCAAAAATAATATACGTTGATTTAATCTATACACGCGCACAGGCATGCTACATCAGGCGCCAACAGTATACGCATAGTGAAGCTTTGCTTTGAAAATTCAGGAAATCAATACTCTGTATTGAAGATTGTACACGTACGGGATAATAATAATAATAATGTTTAGGTACCTGCACTGGAAAACCTTAGATTGACAGTGGAAAAACGCCGAACGATTTCACCGCTGGGGAGACATTCCGACTCCAAATGCTGGCTATTATTGCAAAATCCCATCTTCTACAGGCATAGTGTACACCTCAGATAGAACTGATCTAGATCAACGGTTTTTGGATCCCAATTGTCTGCAACTAAAATAACATTTGAAACCTGGAACAAGACTTAAAGCACTTCCGCATCCGTCGCTTTCGTGACGGTGTAGTCTAGATGTGAGGAATTGTGACAGTAGGAAAACGCTGTCTGTAGATACGTTCCTCACCTTTTCGTCATTTTTTAGTGTCCTTTATCTTTGCCTTCTCTAGAACGGGAAGCTAGTTTGTACTTTGCGTCCTTGTTCAGAATGACTGGGTTGCCGAACATTGGTAGCTTCCTATCATTAGCTTTAAAAAGTTCCTGTCAAGGCCACTTTCTGTCATTCCACGGTTTTTGCTTGTAATAATTCTGCCCAAAAATATTCAGTTGGACGGTACACACCGCAGGAGATAACAAATGTAAGACAGTCCAGCAGCTCGCCGCATGTTGGTTGTGTTTTTTGCTTTCAATTGTGTGCAACGTGTGCTGGTGGAAACATCTGCAGCACCTTCTGTCTTTGTTCTACTACCGCGAAGACAAAAATCAAATCATCACTGCGGAGCCTGTATCCTAGTCTAGAGATACATAATGTCTTAGCTTGTCCCAAATACAGTGGCGTATTTCTCGTCACCCACCCTTATAAAACCATCATCTCTTGCCATTCCTCAGCACAGTCCATTACCCTCTTTCATCAGTACTTGAAGCGAAATGTTCTTGTCGTTGTTACCTTTTCACACACTATGTGGTAGTTAAAAGTCCCAGTTTGCAATAAAAACAATAAAACTGCAGTTATCGAACGGTTTTCTATGCCTGCGAATGTAAGCAACAAGCTTACGGAACCTAACTGTAAAACTACTTTGTATTAGCTTGATGATAAACAATGGGCGCAAAACTAATTAGCGCCGCAAAATTATTTATTGAGCCCTCAAATGTCAAAAAGCTGTTGAAGAATCCACTCAGTTTACACGTACACATAAGTTTGATTTGATGGGTTTTCACTCCAAAGTTTAGTGATAGACAAACTTCGTAGACCCTTTGTCCCTAAAGAGTGAGGGCGGTAATTATTTATTATTGCTTTTGCACTGTTCTTTGAATTTTGTAGCGCACTGTGGATACGCTTTTGAATGTGCTTTATGGAAATCCCAACCCTAGACCACATAGTTGATATACTGTCTTATGTAAGAACACAAGAGCTTTGATAAATACACTCATTTGCAAATCAAATTGGTTTTCACGAGACCCAAGTGAGTCTCTTGTTCACGATGTTTCTCAGCTAAATGTGCTGAAAACAAAAGAGCTTGTTGAAAATCACTGGCCTAGGAACGCAACTCAGGATACCTATGTGCTTGCTAGTAACGGCAGCCACCTGAGATTTATCTCCAAGGTCCTGATTGGGGAGAATTCCCGAGGTCCGTGATACTAGGAATGCGCAATACACGAAACGCCAATACGTAGTTCTCAAGGCGAAAATAACGAGGAACACGCACTCAACAGTTAATTTAACTTGACAAAATTGAATGTTGGATGAAGGCGGAACACCCAGAGGTGTTTGTCAACCCTGTCCTACATTCACAACCACCAGGTACTGGTTAGCTGGTTAGATTGGAGGGGCAACTCTGGTAGATACTTTTAATTCCGCATCAATCGTCTACGTCTGTGCATCCTTGTATGAGTGCTTGGTACGAAGGTCTCCAAGAATCTCAGTAAAATACTCCATTATGCAGCTTTTTGGAAGACTATTCCACATATTTACAGCTCTAGAATATATGTTATCCTCCGGAACACTGATATCCTGCTCCCGTACTTTAGTGTCGTGCAACATTTTTCTTTGCCTGGTTAAGAAAACCACCTCTTAGGAAAGCTTCCTCTCTCCTTGACCTCAAAATAAAAAAGCCGAATCCATACCGACGCTGAGATAAACAACTCAAGATTAACTGATATTTATCAGTCTTGATATCCTAATGGCGACCAATTTCCGCCCGAATAATAGATTTTTTGCCTTTCGCATGTGAAAAATGAGGCTTCTGACCATGCTCCATGGCAGACAGAATAAACGTGGTCAGCAGTTTCTTTACAGTCTCCCTGGTCTAAAGTGCGACCAAGGTTGAATGGCCCATAAGTCCCTGTAGCCTGTGAACGCAACCCAGCTATGCATAGGTTTGCTTTAATATCACTGCGAGGAATTATGCCCAGATCGCGACCAAAAATCTTCTTTCTATGTCACTCTAAATGTGATGTCACTCATTGCCTGCTAGTGAATAGGTGCTGCCATTTGGTTTGGATGACTGGTTGTTTGAACCTCACCGTCTAGCTTTCTGTGTACCAAGCATATCCTGGAGGGATTTTCTATACCTTGAATCCCAACATCAAGTAATCAACAAACATCAGTTCTCTAGGCTCTAGCATGCGAGGCCGAATATTCATTTATCTTAACACGCAATGTTGCATCCTCTGCGCTGTTATTTACGCTCACATCGAGGATAACCTGAAACCATCCAGTCCTTGTGTTTGACCTACGCCAATGATCTCAATTTGAATCAAATGAATCATAGTGACAGCAACCCGCATTCTATTGGACGTCTCGCTCCGTGATGTGCCGTAAAATATCTTAGCGTTTAATCCAAAACATGTTTCAGTTGTGGGAGATTTGGAAACTTAACAAATAAGGTCGAAAAAGAGACAAATATTTCCTTCCAGTTTCCGTCCGCATTCCTTACCTGTGATTTTCATGCTCACCAGACAATTTGTTATCGCGAATATAGAGAGTCCAGGTGCATTTGGATCATTTAAACAAACTATCCTGCGTCGATTATTTGATATTATCATGTGGAAAGCGTAAGATCAATCTTGTGAACCACGTTCTTTCCTAAAACAGGTAACGGCTTAGTCGATCAAGAGTAAAAGATACTTCACGGAACACCAGCAAGTGGTGGGGTGAACTGGGCGGACAGTATTCGCACAATGGGGTTGACTTTTCGAAAGCTGTGACATGTCCCTTGTGGATTAAAGCAGGCAGGTAACACCAGTTCAAACTTTTGAACCCAGTCCAAGTATTCTGGGGTGTGATGTTAGAAAAGCATTCCACAATAATTTTTCCGCCAGAAGTAGGGCTGCTTCAGTAGACAATGAAATTTGGTGACCTGCGAAAATATGAACGTGGATTCGAAAGCGAAGTGCACTTATTTGCAAACAAATTTGGTTTTGAGATACATGAAAATACATTCTGCGCTACTCATAAGGTTGCTGGGGATTCTTCAACAGCCCAAGAGGCTGTCTGGTGCGGCACATTCTGTGGCTCGGAAACATCATAAACGAGGGACTCAGCTGGGTTCCATTTGCGCCACCATATGTTAATGTTCTTTGAAAACTTCACCTCATCCATTTGCTCATGCGATCTCCCTAATCGCGTTTAGCATCCACTCCAACCGGAGTTGCTTGGGGTAACATACGTTTTAAATTTGACTTCTCTCTCTAGAACCTCATAAATTTACCTATTGCTAAAATCCGAGAGCTCATTTGTACTGCTGAACTGGTCATCATTTGTTCACAGGAGTCCACTCTTTCTGGTTAACTCGCTCAGACGATAAGGAAGTGAGAACGTCTCTGCGGCCAGTATACTGATAATCAGTAGAACTCCAAGTGTTCGCACAACTGCATGTGAGCTCCGCTGCCTGTGAAATTCAAATAACGGGGCAAGCATGTAACATAACCCCGTCTGTATCGGTCAACTATTTGGATTTGGTCATATATCCTTTTTTACAGAGGCTTAGGGCATTTTGCATCAGAAACAAGATACATCACCATTTATTGGAATGAGATAAGGTGTGGTGCACCGGGTCGAAATAAATGCGCTGGTGGAAGGGTTAAGGTTCCTAGGGCTAGGCAGTCCTCAGATCCGAGATTGGCCTCAGAGCCCAGAGATACCCCAGCTGTCAACCCATCCAAGAGGCCATATTCTGCGATGTGTAAAGGCGATGCTCCCTTTTGCGTGGAGTCCTTGATGGTAGTTGCCCTATGTTACTCGAGCTGGAGAGTTAAAATCTGAGTTATCTCAACCCAATTCCGTGGGAAAGGTCCTTCAAACAGAAAGACTTCGGGAATTCCACGCATGTCGAGCGCACTGTCCAAACGTGTCTTGCCTCAGTCCCAGCCTCACTATCTTTGTCAGTCTGTGGGTCTGTGACTTTTGAGCAAGAGCTACAATCTGAAGTCACAGCCAATTAGGTAATGTGCTTTTAAGAGTGCAAAATGCCAAGACAGCCATTTGGTAAGTCACCGGGTTGAGGCCGGATCACCCGTCACCGTGCGGAAACTCGTTTTGCGCTTCCTCTCTAAAACCACTGAGATCGAGTTTTTGCGCCTTCGGATGGCAATCCTCGAATGTATGCTTGATCTATGGGAAGGCATTTTGAATACCGGTAACCCACCTAGGGTCCTCTGTTCCTCAGTTGGATAAAACGATGTAACCATCGCCTGAAAAGTTTGCTTGATTTCCCTTCAGTATAACGGTGTTGTGTAAAGTGTTTATTATTCAGCGTTTGTGAAGATACCACCAAGGAGTGGCTCAGCAAGTTCTGTCGTCGTGTCTGTTCTGAAAAGCGATATATTGATGGTCGCTGTAGAACCTCTCATGCCCCTGCCCATCTGAAATGCCGTCGCTGTCCTGCCGCGTCAAGGAGGTGGATCACACTCTTCGCAGCCAAAGGGTTCCGGACGAAGAGCGCTCGCTACTCGTTCAGAGAGGAGAGTCAGTTGTCATTTTTTGTTGGGCCACTAAGATATTTCTGCTCCAATCTTCCAAAGGCTTCGGAAGAACCATCATTTTTCTCATGAGGCTCCCAAATAAAATGGAACATTTTTCCCTCCCATCTGTCTGCCGCTTCCCTTTGCACATCTGACGAGACCACACGGCAGACCTAAAAACAATCTTTTCGCCGTGTATAACTCGCGCGGCTACTGTCCCCTCCAGCTACTCCAAATATGGACCTCCCTGCACGTTGCCAAACTAGCTACCCCCCCCCCACCTGGCCAAAGAAATTCAATTACTCTGGCACTGGCCTTACGCCAGGTGATCGGCTGGCGATCAGCGAAAAAACAAGGCACCCCTATTACCACCAATACTGGCCTCGGTGGTCGCGTCTGGGTGAACTTCATACTCGCCAAGTAGAAACACATTTATACTGTTCAACACCTTCTTTTATTATGTTACCTTCTTATTAGCATAATTAGCAAGTCCTTGGCTGCTAGGTAACTCAAGGCACTTCATCGATTTTTGCAGCACGATCAGTGTTTATTCCGCCTTCCTACGTCTTACATCCACATGGGCTCCGTATAAACCAACTTCAACTGTGGTTCTACATCGGCTTGATTCTACCCTTGTTGACCCCTTGACCAACCTAAATGGCGCTGCGCACAAAAATAAAACTAGCTAACCCCCCCCCCACCTGGCCAAAGAAATTCAATTACTCTGGCACTGGCCTTACGCCAGGTGATCGGCTGGCGATCAGCGAAAAAACAAGGCACCCCTATTACCACCAATACTGGCCTCGGTGGTCGCGTCTGGGTGAACTTCATACTCGCCAAGTAGAAACACATTTATACTGGTTCAACACCCCTTTTATTATATTACCTTCTTATTAGCATAATTAGCAAGTCCTTGGCTGCTAGGTAACTCAAGGCACTTCATCGATTTTTGCAGCACGATCAGTGTTTATTCCGCCTTCCTACGTCTTACATCCACATGGGCTCCATATGAACCAACTTCAACTGTGGTTCTACATCGGCTTGATTCTACCCTTGTTGACCCCTTGACCAACCTAAATGGCGCTGCGCACAAAAATAAACATTACTTGTCATTTCACCCCTGTAATTATATCTATTACAGGGCTATCTACAGACCAAATTACGTTACTACGGTGATGTCAAAACTCTGCCACACCCACGTAGATATTTCTCTCATACTCTCGACTACCCCTTCTCGACTGCCCCTTCTCAACCCCTCTAGCCTTCGATTGCGAGTACAAAGGAACTGCCTTCCTGACCCAAGCCGCCCCCTCAAAGAGCCTCATACAACCATCTAAATACTTTCTTTAAGCTTGACCATCTTGGTGTTCTGCTGCTATACCAGTATGCCTTGACCAAAAATTCGGCAAGTTTACCCACGTTCCTCAATCGGTTTTATGCGGCAGATCTCGCTACCCTCAAGGAAATTTCCATGTAACTCCCTTTTAACATAGATGCCGGGGAAACCATCCACTTTCATCTTACGTCACACTTCTATTACGCAAATTGTGATTCATTACTACTGCGAATTTCTCTACCTCACTGTCCCCACTTATGGTCTCGGTGACTCTGGCCATTGACTGAACTGCTGAGCCATTATCAGCATAGGTGATTAGTTCTAGTTCAAATCGGCCTAGCCAGTTACTGGAAAACAAAAACCGCTTGCTTGTTTCTATTCGCATTCCGCCATTTACGATAATTCATCAAGAGATAAGCATGTTTTTTTGTTTTACCCTTTCCTCCGTTGTTGCTCGGCCCCTTAAAATTTCAGCGACCAGATTATTCTTCAGTTGGTATACTCTCAACAAGTTTTGAAATTAATCCCCATCAAAAGGGTCAGGAGGTAGAGGTTCATCAGTCTCAGAAGACTTCGCCACAAAGAAGTTCACATAAGACCAGAAGCTGGTGAACTCATCGGGAGTGATTGGCATGCTGCACCGCTCCGTGTTCTGCACTGTGCTGACTTGCGGCCTTGCGTCCGTTGGCCATTTCGGTACTTTGGTTCGTTGCCTGGGCGTCTCCTCAAATTCAAGTGACGTGTCCGCTTGAATCCGGCCCACTTCTCATTTTACAAGTTCCTCGTCAGGTTGTTTTCTCGGTTCAGAGCAACGTGGTTCTTGCGTTCTATTACTCTCAGGGGTTGATAAATGGGGTCAACTTCAATACCCTTCTGATGGCTTATTCGGTGGAGTATCGGGTTTCCATAAATTCGTGTTCTTTCTTCGTTTCCTCTTCAACCAATATGCAAACGCTGCTCCAGTTTAACTCGTGTCCTTCCTGATCTTTGCGCTCGATGACTGGAGGAAGTGATTCTTGCCTTTCTGTAGCGAGCTTACTTTCATGTGTTCCGGTGAAGACTTTCACTCTTGTTTGCCCTGTATGTCTTTTGTCGCAATCTTCCATTAACTCCTGTATACGATATTGTTCCACATCAGTGGGTCTTATTACCCATTTGGGTCTGATAGTGTCCTCCACAAAGTGTTTTCAGGTCGTGTTGCGCTGTTGTGAGAGCCTCGCGGTCATTTCGGCGGTGTTCTTGATGTGCGGGTGGGTAACTCGTTTGCTTCCATTTTGTGCAGTTGCGTTAGTCGCATTTGGCTTTCCAAGCAATCTCCAAATGAAATTCTTTGGGTGTCCATTTATCTGGAGCAACTTTTACAGGCGTTTCCCTTCTTTCTTCTTGGAGTCTACTGTGCTGCGGCCCGTTTTAACCTGTTTGACGTGTCCGAATACAGGTTTGTTTGTGAAAATTTGAGTGGTTGCCGTAGTAACCCAGAATCTGGTCCTTGCGCGTCAACAACAATCCGGCCGCAGCTGTACTGGCAGAGTGGACATCTACACACGTCAGTAATGAGCTCACATCAAATGCACCCATTATTCCATCCTTGTCGAGTTTACGTTCTTCATTCTCGCCGAAAATTGTCCCGCATCATTGATGGAGTATATGGATCCACCGATGAGAAGTTTCAACTTATTCCATTGTCATTCGAAAGACTGTAGGTAGCCCTTCCCGGGAGTGATACTATCGGTCGGATGGGTATAGCCTTTTTGTGTGCTTATTGGAGTCCGTAGAAGCGGAAAGGGGCTGAATCCCGAGTTCTCACCCTCCTACATTCCAATTTTGTAACCTTATTGAGATCTTGGGAATTCTCTGAGTTTCTACTGATTTGTTTGCCAGTTGCTTGCTTTGGTCACGTACCAAGCAGCGATATGTGGTTGTGTCGTTAAGTGGCGCTTTCGTTTTTTGGTGCAGTCCGGTTTGTCCATGATCACTTTTAGTTGCCTCTAGTCTTCTGGTAGAATCCAACGTTGTTTCATCCTTCGTTAGATTGTTCATCGCTTCTATTTCTCCGTCGAAGAATACGTTATAGAGCTTGCCGTGTATGATGGCCGGAATAACGGTTTGCCAAAGCCATCGTTGAGCATTTCCGTCGAGAACGATAGATTCCATCGCTGCTTCCAGGCCAGCATATTTGACGACAAAGCCAATCTATAATCTCTTATCACCTTAAATATGGTTGAACAGTAATCACTTCCTTACACTGAAGCGTCCACCATGACCATGTCATAATGAGAACTCTGGAAGGTCCCAACAAATCCCGCTCACCGGGTCCTCCCCAGGTGCAAAAGCGGTTTGGATTCCTGACTTGTATAAAAGCTCATCGGCCCATCGGAAGGAGATTCTAATGCAACAAGCATCCGAGCTGCATATATTCCGCAATATTGATAAAAATACAAATCTCCCCTCCCTCATATCCAGCTCAATAGAGGATGACACAGATATACGTGCAACATGAACGGCACGCCATCCTAACAGTATGAGTTACTCGGGCTAGCAAGAAGATACGTTCTTGCTGGTTGTCCGTCACTTGCCTTCTCCCCCAAGCAAACTATGTTTTTGTGGAACTAGGCTCAGCTGCAATCTGAATATCGGTTATCAAAATATGGTACTACCGCACTGCTAAAGTAGCCGGTAACTGTGCTTCATCCAACTTTTCCCGTCATTCTTCTCTACACGACAGCCCATAAGTTCAACAAAAACGTTTTACCATCTTAGTCATTCCCCCTCTAAACTCTGCACTCCACCTGTTGCCGGCTCGCTGTATCTTCTGGATGTCAACCACACCCGGCTTGTTCACCACGCGGGGCCGATACCGCGAAGCCTTACTCGGTAAGCACACAGTAGAACTTTTCGTCAACCAAGACAATACAGCATGATGTAATGGGAGTGAAAGTAGTCCAAGATCGAGGGTGATGTGGCCGTATTGATTGGCGAGGCCGTTAGACCTCTGGAAGCACGTGGGCCGAATTCCAGCTCAATAAAGTATGGCTGAAGTGCGGGGAGAGCTTACATCCAAACGCTAAGTGTAACGTCCTCCTTTCACATCGTCCCACACCTTCAAACGCATTTCGCTATAACGTTCGAAACTGCTGGAAATATTGAAACCATGGGGTTCAAATGCCTGTGCCCCATTGGGTGTGGAAGCCGAAAGGCAGTTGTCGTTGGTTTTGAATCTTCCTCTGAACGGCAAAAAGTGCATCATTATGTCATCATAAGAAAATTCAGCGAATGTCTTCATCGTGGATGGTGAGAATGGACCAGAAGGCTTTACGAGGATAGATAGCAAAATGTGTTTTATTTATCTGACTGTCCTTGAATATGTCCCCCTCACTCCGCGGTGAAAAATCTGCCCAAAAGACAATCGCCATTCCACGGACGATTAGGCGTATCTTCCCCCGTATTAGTCGCACGGACTTCCGGATACTCTATTATATATCAGACAGCTTCTTGAGTATGTCAATCAAGCTATCTACTCAACAGCGAGGAGGCCGTCAGTGTCAACGAGCTTGTCCAACGAGCTGATATGAAAACGCTTTCCGGCCTTAAATCCGTGGTCTACCAGCCTCGTGTCGCATTGCTTGACCTCCTTCTCCGGGAGCATCGTCGCCCACAAGGGGGCATAACATTCTTCTATTCCGTGTTTGAACAATTTGGCCAGCAGTGTTTTCAAAGCTGACCCAACTAACGTAAGGGATGGACGTAGTAGGAAGGCTTTCAGGTTGGGAGCGCACACACTTATTAGGCAACGACTTCTCTCATTTCGGGTAGTTGGTGAGCGGAATCACCTTCCTCCAGCGGTCGTTCATGCCGCACCTATCATCCAGTTCAAAGCACGTTTAGACGCTTCTTTAGTTAAGTCCTCACGCCGGCATGATTTCTGCCCCACGATGAGAACTTATAGACCGGCGCTAGACCTTTTTCGCTTATGTCTATCAGGCGAACGAAAGCCGCTGAACGGAAAGTATAAACCTGACCCGGTAACTTTGGGCGAAAGTCCTGATCCTATGTATCAACCCGTGAACCCCTGACTACCATTGTTACTCTTAGTAATACTGTAAGATCGGTAGCGTACAGCGTGCTCCACTAACCACATGTCCACGAAAACCAGCTCGTGAGGCCTAGTTAGTCTGCCCTTCCTTCAGCCCTCTTTACCCGGAATCCAGTATACGCACTAGACCAAACCGAGCCTGCGACATGCCCTTCCCAACTCAGGAATCAATTGAACCGAGAATTGACCAATCACAAGCTTATTTGGCGCTCGCGTAGCCCGCTCGGAGCGGCGCGTGCTTGGGAAGCTCGATTGCCAGTTTGGTGTGTGGTGCTTTCTTGAGTGATTTGTGGGTAAGTTTTGGTGCGTTACAGTCTTGTTTAGTGGATTTTGGCTCGTGATGTTGGTTCCCATTTTTCGACCCCGGGAACTGCCGTGTACCGCTATATCAGTTCAGTTTGACAACTGTTAATCACCTGCGCAGATACGGTGATTCAGATCACCGCAACTTATTGCTGGAGGTAGTGTATGACAGATGTTTCAGTGGTTAGGGAACATACTCACTCACGGGAAGGCCCATGTTTTGTATCTGACATCTGCATTTCTGCTCCTGTCTAGGCTTGGGCAATCTGGCGGTACCTCGGCCTTCATGCTTCCTTCGGTGGGCGTGGCAGCTGGGCACCAGAAGACTGCTACAGCTAAACCGTTTTTTTGCGTAAGTGTGGGTGTAGGAAGTATTTAGGCAGAGTCAAAGCGGAAACGATTGACTGGACAATGATTAAGTACAAGAATATGGATGTAATTGTCACTGGTTACACAGCACCGTTAATCTGGTGGATCTTCAATACCCCAACCCAGTAGACTGCATGCACTAAAGTAGACAGGGCCCTCTGTGTTTTCCATGCTGTTCTTCTAAATCACGCGTTCTCTGCTATTTTTATCTTCCGGTCGGAATTTACCCCAGAAGCAGCACGGCGAGGCCATCGATCAATCGGCACAGTTTTCGCAGCCGGCGTAGTTAGCACAGACTACTCAACTCGTCTGGTGAAAAAGTAGTTGATTGTTGCTGAGCAAACTTCATCGCATTCAAGCATTGGTAATTTCATCTCCCCATGATACGTTCCTACGAGGTCCAAAAGCAACCAACCTTCTCCTGTCTTCGACACAGTGGACGGCCCCCACGACCGTAAAGTAACGGTGGACAGTGCTGTATTATGGACCCTTTCACCAACACCCCCACATTGAGACGGTACCTAATCATGGTGCGATGGTTTATGCGCCCACGCAACCGATTGAGCTATACTGGGGGATAGCCGCGCGACACTGGCAGCCTCTCATACCAGCTTGATCAATGGTTAGGGGTGTGGTGAACGCAGTCTTCTGGTCCTCCAGGTTGGGGGTTGGAACGTGTTTGGTGACTTGTATAAAAACATTAATACACTTGTATATCGTGCCATACATGGCTGCCTTGTGGTCAGGCTGTTGAGCCAAAGATTTTGGTTGACGACCCTAGTCCTCCTCCTGTATGGGCGTGGGCGCCCTGATGGCATCCCAGCTCACATACAACCACAAATTGCACGCATGCAAATGAACTCATGCCACATCGACCCTCGCGTGGTTCCGTCAGCCGTGTCGCCTTGCTCTCTGCATACAGCAGATCGGGTAAGCGAAAACATGCTACTACTGACACCTCCCTTCCCTTTCACATAATTTTTCTCCCTCTCTCCACTTCGTTACTAACTCTCTTCTTGTAGACCCAGCACTTAGGCTGATAATTCCGTTCGTCCCGCATCGGTGTTGCAAGCAACATCTGCGCTTCATTCGGCGCCGAAATCCCCAGACATTTCTAAGTCAATATTCAATCCCCCACGGCAGCGAAGCATCGGTGTTGAACTTTGATGTCATGCTGTAGATGATGATGACGCCCACTCTTTCTGGAGAACGTGGAACCCCTGAGGACCTCGGAGATTTGTGGCTGCACATGTTCCCTCAAGCGCCACCGAGATTCTGGTCCGGTTGACCTCACCCCGCATTGCTCAAAGATGGTGGTTAAGTCCTCAGTTAGGGCTTATCTGATCTGTTTGTCTGTGTTTGGGAAAAGGAAACTGTCCCAGACAACTGGTTGAGTCGGTTATAGTGCTTGTTTTAAAAAAGGGGTCGTACTGAGTGTACTAACCACAAAGTGACCAGCTTGATCACGTAACGAAACTGCTGGCGTCGCTTGTGCTTCGTCGCCTTATGGTGGCTCGTGAGACACTGACTAGAGAGCAACAATTAGGGCTTCGGCCTCGTGGAGTTTGCATTGACCAAATGTTCACACACAATCAGATGTTAGAACAGCGCCGTACGTACAAACGGCAGACAATTTTAGTAGTCCTGGATTTCCAAGGCGTATTCTACTCGGTTAACCGGTCCGTTTTTCTTAATACACCGGCTCATCAGGGAACTCCCCGGAAGTTTGTAAACATAATAAGTTGTTTGTGATTTCATACTTCCGGACATGTGAAAGTAGATCGAGAGCTCTCCAAAAGCTTCTGTACACAAAGTGATGTCCGTCGGAGGTACCCACTCTCTCCATTCCTGTTTAATTTCCTGATCTATGAGATCACTCTCACCATTCCCATTTAACTTCTTGATCGATGAAATCATGAGACGAATGCCTAAAGGTCTTAAAAACCCTGGTATTCAAATAGCCTACGACGAAAACATTGTCGATCTGGGGTACGCAGACGACATCGTTCTCGTCTTCGAAGTGGAGGAGAAGGCGCAGGTGTTTCTGGATGGATTGACCAAAGTCATCCCATCGTTTGGCATGCACTTTGCACCCACAAAGTGTAAGCTCATGTCCGTGGACGTGCAGTCACTGAGCATGTCACTTACAATCCAGGAAGAGGCACTGAAAGTTCTGGAGCGCTTTACGTATCTTGGAAGTTGTATTAGTTCTGATTGCAGTGTGGTAGATGAGGTGAGTACACGAATCTGCAACGCTCGAGCCGCGTTTGCTAACTTGAGACACCTATGGAGTCAGAATGGTTTATCCCTGAATCTGAAGGGACGTGTGTATCAAGCTATAGTACGGGCTGTTTTGTTGTATGACTGTGAGACTTGGCCTATTCGAGCAGCGGAACTGAGACGTTTTCAGGTGTTCGACAACCGTTGTCTCAGAACCATAGCTCGTGTGGGTTGGTGTCGGCGAATCCGTAATGAGACAGTTAGAAAGCGCGTTTTCGATTGTGCAACGGGTACCTTCATTGAAAAATGTGTCCGGCACCAGAAGCTGCGTTGGTTGGAAAATGTGTTGTGTGTTCCGAACCATCGTTTGTCGTAGAGATTGCTGTTTTCCATGCCCAATTCAGAGTGGCGGAAGCAGAGAGGTGACCAACCCTTGACCTGACAGATGGGCGCGAAGGAGATAACGAAACGTTTGGGTGCTGTTGGTGTTACTCGCCTTCCAGGATGGGGATCGCGTGATCCCCACTGGCCTGGTTGGAGACGCTGCAAGATATGGCTTTCAACGGATGTCAGTGGCGTTCTTGTTATTGGTTTCTATCCAGATTGCTTGAGTGAATGTCTGGAGGTGTAGGCACTTCGGAATGATAGTGGTAAGCTTGCACTAAGTCCCTTCCCCACCCACCTTTACTCTTTTCTTTGCAATAAGCTTTTCAAATGAATCAGGGTTGTACGGCAGTGAAGCATCGGTGATGAACACTGATTTCACGCTGTCGATGATGGTGATGGGATGATCTATGAAATAATGGGACGAACTCTGGAAGGCCTCTAATAGCCTCCAACGAAAACGTTATCGGCCTGAAATATGCAGACGATATTGTTCTCGTTTCTGAAGAGGACGAGAAGGTGCAGGTGTTTTTGGATGGGCTGACCTCGGAATCATTGCGGTAAGCTAGCACCAAGTTCCTTTCTCATCCACGATTATTCTTTTCTTCACAATATGGCTTTCAAATAAATGATTGTACGGCAGCGATGCCTCACTGTTGAACACTGATGTCATGCTGTCCTTGATGATGATGATGATGACAAGGGTCATGTATATTAAGCTACAATAAGGGGTATGTTGTTGCATGGTTGCGAAACATCACCTCTGAGGACAGATGATTTGAGGCGTCTTCAAGTTTTTTTTGCACCACTGATGCCTCAGGGGATGTTGTTGGGGTCGGGTGGCGTCCGCAAATTCGTAACGATATAATTAGTAAACGGGTATTGGGTGGTTCAGCCGGTGTTTCAATCGCGGGAAACTCCCAGCACCCTCAACTGCGCTGTTTCGGTCATGTGCTACACATTCCGAAACATCGTCTACTGGAACCAGTGTTGTTCTCTGTGCTTTCTTCAGATTGGTGGAAACTGCGAGCTGGACAACGTATGGTTTGGCAGAAGAGTGTTAAAAAGATTACAAACAGCTGGGTGTTTTTTGTGCAGTACACCTCCAAAGATGGGGCCCCCATGACCCCTCGTGCGCTTGGCGGTTGATCGGTGGTAATGGCTTTCATGTCTTCAGTCTCCCTCCAGATTGTCCGGCTGGGCGCTTGGACGTGTAGACACCTCAGTATTCTTGCCATAGGCCATCACCAGGTCCCATCGCTCACCCACCTTTTTGTCTTCTTTTCATATTAAGGCTTGAAATATAATTAGACGAATTTTGTGGTTGTACGGTGGTAATCCATCAGTATCAAAACAGATGTTGCTGTCCCCGAGATGGCTGAAGCGGTTAGAGCGCGAATTTACTGACCGGAAGATCGGCGGTTTGAACCCGACCTCTGCCTCTCGACTTCTCCCGTGTATGCTTGAGCAACCTGGCAGTATTCCGGCCCTCGTGCTTCCTTCAGGTGGCATGGCAGCTGGGGTGATACAGCTGAACGATTTTTGTCTGATGATGATGACGATGATGATGGTGCATTGCTGTCGAGAACTTCTGGAACATCGCCACGTATGGACGACCAACAATCGTTTTTAAGACTTAAATGCAGCGTTTGCCCGCTCGACCGCGCTGCTTTATGCTGACTTCTCTATTTCAAAGTCATGCCGAGCGTCCTCGTCACACGTCGATTTTTATACCCTAACACCCACCGTCGCGTAATAGTCCATTGAGAGCATTATCCTGCGCTGGCCACTTTTGTGCTGAGTGGACGTTAAATGTGAATGTCTAATAGTTGTGCTTGTGTTCTTTGTAATGGCACTGAACGAACATATTTCGTACAACTTTGTCTCCTGGATGTGTGAGCGCAAGGCTGCGGGTTTACCGCTTTGAATCCGGATGCCCGTCATGTTTACGAGCAACTTTTTCTGCTGGATACTATCAACACAGACCAGATCATATGCTGTCACCAACCTGAAACTGAACTCCCGCCCCTGGAGAATCACTACCTCACGGTATTTTCAAAACCCACATTCTACATTTACCCTCCACTGGTGGTTCCACCACACAGCATCTCGTTCGATATTCTTGCATACGTAGCTTGCAGCTAGCACATCGCTCAAATATATAAAGACTGTCACAGCCCCATACATAGCAACCTCCGCACATGCGCTCAGCAGTCTCACGCACCACACCACTAGCATCGGCGGGTTCACATAGGCCGTGGTACATCGAGCTGCGTGGTCGAAAATCTGACCATTGTGGTTTAGAAAACCCGCAGTTTTAATTAATTTCTGAGTAATTATTTGTTTCGCATGGTTTTGCCTACTAGACTTCGGCTCACTATTTTCTCTTCTTTTCTACCCGCAGAAGTTGTCACGAACCTGTGCCTTCGGAAAATCACTCCACAGTGTGCTGCTACGACAGGCCAGCTAGTAATATAAACCACTTGTAAGTTCCTTCAGCCGGTCTGATGTCATGCCTCCTGCATGCTGTTGATCTTTATGGTCCGTGCTGTAAAAAACTATATGTCCGGTGCTCCTCAGCGTCTGTCCAATGCACAGTTAAAATCTCGTTCTGTTTCTGCCACGACGTGTTTAGTGTTCAAACGTTCCACTGTTCCTCACCACCACCATTCCATTAGTTTGTCATTTATTGGGTCCTCAAGGTCGATTTTTCAAGTTCCATGAGACGGTAAGCACTGTTTTGGTGCTGGAATCGAAAATAGTATCCGTTTTCCATGCAAATGTCTGTTATGACTTAATTCCGATTCAAGACAAGAGTGGTACATTTGTTTCGCTGGCGCAGCGTAGATATTATATGCCTCATGGTAGATAACTAATGTATACTGAGGCATACAAGCTTGTAAAGCCCGCAGAGTGTCGAGTACGGCTTACACTAGTCTTCCCTTGAGTGGCACGCGACGATAACTGCTGCACTGAGAAACTGTTAGCTCGGTTATGACAAACCTAGACAAATTTATCCAGTGTAAAATATATTTAGGCGAGGTGGCTGTTTAAGATACGTGCCAACCAGCCGAATCAATCATGGCAGAATGGTATAGACAAAGAAAATAATTAGGGATAGGTGAGACAGCTGGACCCAACCGACCGTTGGACTGCCATGTGGAGGACTCAAGTTCTGTGCTCCTTGTAAGGAAAAAAACCGCCCTTACCGGTGGTCTGTAATTTATTGAAGTAAGCACATCAGGAGATTGTCCGAACGCACATTTGGATAGCTTGCCCATCCAAAAAACAGTGCGGGAGGATGGCATGCTGCGACGCGCCGTTCACGTGCTCTTTGATTGCTTGGCTGTTTACTCTTCCTTTTTATAGGTGACAAAGATCTGTGTCCGTAAGATCGAGTGTTTCTACCAACCATAACTTGGCACTTTGGAGAAAAGTTAAGTCCAATCGACTGGGCAGAGTTTGTCAGTCGTCTATGGTATGCAGATTGTGTAAGTGCGCTCATAAACCAGCACTACTTTATTTATATATTCCGAGTCACAAAGAATTTCTCTTGGTGGTATGTTGACTCCGCATTGCGCTTTCTAGATAATGGTCACCACAAACTAACTTGCTTTTTAGGCTGAGCAGACCATCGCTGCTGAATGTAAACCAGCTTATGGTTAACCCCTAGTGGCGATCTGCGACCTAAGAAGTACATGATCTGCGCATGTATCTTTAATACTAAGAACACCAGAAAATGTACCACACAATTAGTTTTCTAATGGCAACCCTAATATTTTCGGAATCGAGAACGTTGAAGTAAGAGGACGGAGTGGATTTAGAATATCAGGATCCCTAGCTTGCTATTTGGTCCTTGCCACCTCTCAAGTTATTTCCACGGTGACTGGGGTGGTGATCGCCTATTACGGTAAAAACATGTCCATTTGTTTAGGAAATCTGCGAACAGGTAGAAGCAAGCTTGTTCACCTATACTTCAAAAGCGATAGAAATGGAAGAAAACATCAGACTACTCTGCTCGACGGAAACAAATTGATGTATTTGCTTACATCCTCTTCAATACCCCCATCTTTGTTTGAAGTCACAGTTAACACCCACAACCCATTCAGATGCCATGAAACCATATGAAGCTTCTCAATACTAAAAGAGATTTAATCCTGGAAGCCCTTTTCAAGCTCACATCCTCACTGGCGCTGTCCAAATGGGGAAACATAATGCGCACACTTCTAATGGTATTGTATGAAAGCTCTCTGTTGGGGTGAATGTTGGTAACTCAGGTATAATGTATATTCGTTCGTTGGTTCACTGAGTCAGGCAAGTTGGTCGTAAACCTTTTCACCAGTCGAGGTGATATCATCAATGCGTCCTTGTGTAGCAGACCGGAGCAGTGCGACAGTGGTCACATGAAGCGTCACTACGCAAGGGCGCATTGATGATGTCAGTCAGCTGAAGTGACCGCTATTTAGCCCAATGAACTAGTAGCTATCATCTCTAACAGCATTAGGTAGCAAAATAATCAAACGCATCAAATGATTATGGCATAACGGGGAGATTTTGTTGTAACATAAAATTTGCTCACCCGAATTGTGAACACTTCTCAGTGAATGACCGCAGTGGTGTGAACTAGCACTCTGAAAACCTTACCATAACTGGCGAGTGTGATTTGTGACGCGTGAAGTTTCTGTTTCGATAGTCTGGAAGTCCTTGGCACGTGTAATATGATGTACCTGACTTCCAATAGTAGACACTCAAGATATCCTTGCGAGACAGTTTCCCACCATTCAGTCAAATATTCAAGTATTGTTACTGAAATTATGTAAAGATTGTCCCTAGCTGCCCGTAGCCAGTCATTGAACGCTCACTTCGGGATTTCCTCTCGAGGACATTAACACTGAAGAATGCATGAGTTTCATATTATTTCATATAAAGTATGTCCACTTGGTCGAATTGCTGTGACCATTCCCAGAAAGGGTATAAACAGCCTCACCGGACCACATGTGTGTTCACAGAACTCATAAATACATCCATCTAGATGCGTAACCAATCTGTCCACGAGACATTGGTCACGTAAACCAGGTTTAGGATTGGAAAACGCTTGGAACCGATTTAGTAGTCATCAGTTTCGCAAAAGTTTGGGAAAAAAGCGGCGGATTGACTGCTGGGCAACGTTTCACTTTTGGCATAGGCTTCGTCAGGCAAGTTGCTAGGTTACGAAGCGGCGGATTGACTGCTGGGCAACGTTTCACTTTTGGCATAGGCTTCGTCAGGCCAAGTGACTAGGTTACGAGGTTGATCGAGACCTAGGGCGGAAGGTGAACCAATCAGGTAAGTTAGTCTAAATCAGTGTTAGGCGTCTGTTATGGGATTTTGTTTGTTAGGTTAGGTTATCAAGTGTTAAGTCCGATGGGGAACCCACTCGGATTTTAATCCAGCTTAGGGTCTGGTTCTTCCGGTTCGCTTCACGTGAAGATATCATCTTGAACGTCGTTTGCACTTTTTGTCCCTCTGTGGGTGAGCTAGTGCTACGATAGTCGTGCAAGGGTGAGGGATCCTGTGAACTTTGGTCGATTTGGGAGTTCCAATCTTTTTTAATGATTCTACTTCATTGACAGCTCCACATCGTCACGTCTCAACTCCGCTTATCGAAGACCACTCTCCATACATTTTTTGATTTCCAGTGCTGTGGGGTGACTCGCAGTACCGATTTTATATCCACTACATTCTTCAGATCCATTCTATGTCCTACGCCATCGTTGAGTTATTGACCAGTGCCCTGTATTCATTTGCATTCCTCGATGGTTTATCTATCCTGTGCTCGCTAACCATGGTGCAAAATTCCCTAGCTGTTAGTCCTCTGTAAACCTTCGTGCAATCGTTGCGTTTACGCTTATACACACGGTCCTTAATCCTTTCAACCGGCAAGGGATCTTTCAGTTGTACCAAAACTGAGCGTGGCGTGCTTCCCTATCAAACAAAATTCCTTAGCAAACACCTAACAGTGATCTAACCTGACTCACATGATTGGTTCTTTTCCTCCCTTAAATCTCGACCGACCTCGTAACCTAGTCAAGCCTTTGTGTTAAAAGTGAAATGTTGCCCAGCAATAAATCTACCGATTAGTCCCAAGCTTTTGCGAAAATGATGACTACTCAATCAGTTCCAAGCGTTTTCCAAACCCGTGACCTGTTGTTTCCCCATTTATTTGGTTTATTTATGAAGACAATGGCCAGCTAACATTGTGCACTCAGTAGCATCAAGAGTGCACCGGATTTCAGTGACCTTTTCTGCAGATTAAGGCTACGTCTTAAAACACCATCCGAACCGTGTATATTTCATTATGCCATGGCTGACGAACTTATTCCGTGCAGCAAACATGAACATGGTCGGATAGGTACATACGGCCTTCATACCAGGGCGGTTCTGCACGCGCTTTCTAAGCTACAACGCAGTCGGCTGACCACTACCACAGTTTCTGCAACACGGTACACCTACCCTGCTCGCCTTATCATCGCTTTCAGTAGGGCGTGTTGTCTCAATACCCTTCCACTCTACTTTGCACAATGAGCAGAGTAAATTGTTCCGTACTTTAACGTGTCCCTGACCTTGTTGCCATCAGGTTCAGCGACAATGACGGTATTAAAATCCTTGATAGCAAACGACTGCGTTCTTAGTGCGGTCACGTGACGTTTTCGCTGTGCGATTCCTGTCCCATAAATGGATGAAAACAATGCAGTTTGAGATTGTAGATGATATGACTAATGGCTGAATATACTCCATAATGCCATTGCACTGGGGCTTAAGTGATTAAAGCGCCAATTTACTGACCGGAAGGTCCGTGGTTCGAACCCGACCTCTTTCTCTCGACTTCCCCTGTCTAGGTTTGGGCAACCTGTCACTATCCCAGCCCTCGTACAACCTTCGGGTGGCGTAGCAGTTAGGCACCGAAAGGGTGCTGCAGCTGAACTGAAACTCTCGGTTGATTTGGATTGGACTTGAGAAGCGGCTTAACATCACTGGAGGAGAAGTTGTGGCTCGACAAGCGGAGTTATTATTCGTGAAAGTTTAAAAGTAATAATAAACGCACAAGGAAAAAAACAGCAGGGGAAACCACTGTGGCTCCATTATTTTTTCGTTATTCATCCTTGCATTTACAACTTTGGATTAACTAAGCATTTTCTCACAACGTTACTTGAGGACTTGGACTACTAACTTAGCAGCCACACAACGGCACCATCTGTGGGCAATTCATTTCAATTCCTTTTGTTTTGCGTTTTTAGTGTTGACCGGAACAACTAAGGCGATCCGATGCTGCACCAACGTATGCACAAACCGTGGGACCATTCCATACCTCAAGCCTAGCCATCAAGTTCGTTAGGTACTACCAGGATGACCCACCAGCGGTATTTAACATAGTGAAACTTAACGTCTGTCTGTTCTGGTTCAACACAACCAAACGGAGATCAGTTGTCACGCCACAGTTTTTGTCGTCTGCTATTCTGAAAAGGCCGTCCCTGTTGGAGCGTAGAACGGGCTGAATAACCTAACTTCCTCCGTCACTTCAAGGGGGCTTGGTATCGTGTCCACCAGTCCGTTTGTAATGTTCGTGAACCGGTTTTTAAGATGGAATCACCACTATATATATATATATATATATATATATATATAATTTCGTCTGATACTTGAAAAAGGACTGCATTAACGTCCGCGTAGTTCACTTTAGAAAGTTTGCCTGTGTGTACAAGCACTCGTTTATCACGCAGTGCCATGTGTGATTTTTTATTCCTAACACCTAATGTGTCTTTTGTTCACAGAATTGTGTAACCCCTTTTGGCTTGACCAGTCGATTGGCATAACGAGGAAATTGTTCAATTATGGATTCCATTCGTCAAGCTGTGACACGAACTGCCCTAGGTCTGGCGGAATACGTTGTTCCCGTGTTACGCACATCCAAGTTCAAGGAGACGGGAGTCATCACGCCGGAGGAATTTGTGGCTGCCGGTGACTTCTTGGTTCACCACTGTCCCACGTGGCAATGGATGACGGGAGACAAACCCCCAAGAGATTATCTACCCGTGGCGAAACAGTATCTTCTGACACGCAACGTTCCCTGCTACAAACGGGTGAAACAGGTGGATAACCATAACGAAGACCTGGAAGAAACAGTTGAAGGCGGTTGGGTCGATACTCATCATTATGCCTCCGCCTATAGTGAGTTTTATATCTTCGTCATACCCCCCGTATCCTACCAAGAGCTCGTCGTTTAGAAACACTAAGCCAACTGGTTACACTTGTCTGCAACACCAGGGTGCTAGTAAACGAAATAAATCAATAATAATAGTTGAATTGTGGTACTTTTTCGATGCATAGTTGTCCTGTGACCCGAAGGAAGCGCAGGAGTTATGGTACTACCATTCGCTCAAGCCTAGACAGGAACCATCGAGAAATCAGGTTTGGGTTCGAACCACGGGCTTTCCGACCAGTAGCTCTGAACCCTAACCACCTTGAACTCAGTATGCAAACCAATCTTCTCCATAAACACGCCACACAGTAATCCTCCGTTTATCGGTTAATTTTTCATTCCCTAATGCATTACAAGATGTACATGACCTTGGACATCTTGTGGAATAGAAAGCCCTCTTGGAAACCTAAAAACAATTTGTAACACCGAAAGGGTGTTTGACTGTCACACACGTCGTTTTGCTGACATGTCCCCAGGTGTTTTCTGTTTTGCAGAAGTATTTGAGTCACATTCGACGTTCGTTTTATGGGCAACGCAAACTGAATGCGTCAGCTGTAATCTTGAGTTTGATATATTGACAGGCGTCGCCGCTGGCTGCGTCAGTATCCCATTTTCTATTGAGAAGAATGTTGGTAGCTCAGGCAGTCTAAGGTGGTCGTTGGTTTGTTCGCTGAGCTGGGTAGTTTGATCACATCCCATTTCTTGTGCACCAAGATTTTGGTAGCTCAGGCAGTCTAAGGTGGTCGTTGGTTTGTTCGCTGAGCTGGGTAGTTTGATCACATCCCATTTCTTGTGTCACCAAGATTCAGTGTCGTATGATCTTCAACTCCGATCGAGTGGAAACATTTCCACACCTTCGGATTTACTTAAGACATTGTTTTTGCTTGTGGAAACCGTTCTTGCCTTTATGCATACTTAGCAGCTTTGCAGTACCGTGTCGCATTCATCGTGGTCATATATCTAGGGTTAAATCCTACCACAATGGTTACAATGTGTTGTGTCCTTCGGATTTACTGATCACAAGAGTCAGGATCGTTCACTCTAAAAAATACCCTAGAACTTTAGGGTTTCATGCATCGACTTCTTTGAAAGCCTCATCCACACATTAACATCATATTTTGCCTCTTATATTTGCCATCTTGGCCAGCCCCGTCAGGCGGTCCCTCTGGTAAACTACAGCAGCATCAGACGAAACATGTTCCACTTAAATTCCGAGTCACTCGATTATAACCGAAGTTTCACGATATCCGTTTATCATTCGTACATGTCGATACCCATGGTTGTCAAGCCAGTCTTTTGTTCTATTAATAACATATTCTCAACTCGCTGGCTGTAGTCTCACTGCGCTAAAACGAGTCTTTGACAGTAGCATATGTCAGCAATTATAGCTTATGCGTCATCGATGTCCTGAAACCAGTAAACTAGGTTTGGGAACTGCATCTAGCCAAGGATGTCTACTTCAGTATTTTTCAGGTCGTGATTTGTGTTTGACATAATAGCCCACCCTTATGTAGCATGCTCTCCAGCCTAATTCTTGAGCGTGCACCACCAGGCTAGATTTTTTGTGGTATAGGAATACGGTTCTCTTGTAGTGCGAGAAATCCGAATCCGTATAATAAGACCGGTTGATAAGGGCTCCTTTGTACTTAGGGCTGTTTCGGTCCCCCCCCCCCATTTAAGGTTTTTCACAGTAGCATCTGAGGAATATTTTATTCGAAGTAGGTAACCTATATACTCACCCAACCTCCGGTATCGCCTTTCGTCAACTCATCATTATTGTTGTGGTTTCTGTATTCTCTGTACAGCCGAAGATACAGACAAGCCGGCCGAAATGCCCACTGACCAACGTGGTATAGCACCAGGTCATGTCGGAGACAACGCTGTTGGGCTAGATGAGGATGAAGACGAAGAAGAGGAAGCTGAAGATATGGAGGCGTTCATGCAGCGTGGAATGCTGGATGAGGTACTTTCTGTTTGGTGTACTTATCACTTACTGTTGCTTGACCTTTTTTGGTGTGTAAGGCTTGTGCGTTTATTACCTGGAAAACTGGGTAAACTGATGTCCTCAAGCTCTGGTAGCATTTTTGTATAGATGACTCCCGCAAACAGTTAGCTGCTTGATATTTGGAAATCATTTTACCATTGAAACCGTCTTATTCGGACATGGCATTCTGTCGGTTGTTTAGACTAGAATGCTCCTCGAATACGGGTTAAAAAACGCGCCAGTACTAAAATGTACCGCGGAATGTGGGACAGTTTGTTCTGTTGCCAAGAGGAAAGGTTTCCGTATGTGACATCCAGACTGGTGATTCCTGCTTATCTGATGATGCAAACACGCTTTTTCGAATTAGTCCTTATTCAACACCCTTCACTGTATCCATTTCCTGAATCCGTGTTGAGATCAAGCTCTTGTTACTGTGAGATAATTCTCTCTTGGTAGCCTGTAAATGGCAATTTATTCAGTTTCCCCACGTCTATACATTCTTGTAATACTGATGCAGATGCTGATGCCCATGCAGCCTTCGATGAAGCGTGAAAACTTACTGGTTCGCCAGCAGCAAACATCCTTCCGGGGTAATGGCGTGTTATCCACCTAGCTTTATAACCGCAATCAATAGTGGGGAATTACTCTACATGATACGAGCTCTTAGTGGTTTTCAAACGTTCTAACAGTTCCCGTCCGTTACTGCCAAATGATTCTTTACCCTTGCGTAGCTGGCCTTCCGAACCATCACGGCGTTTACATTGAATACTTGCGATAAAAACGTTGTTCTTCACTTAGGTCATGCTGGTAATACGCTGAGCGTTGGAACCTTCAAAATTGAGCTTTTTCTCGCCACTGTATGGTACTTTTTTCCGCTTCTCTCCAAAGGAATGTGGCCTTATATCTGATTCAGTCTATAATGGATGTGGATTGAACGCTTTGTTGTGCGTGTACCCATTGCCACCCTCGTGTACGCCAAGCGGTTGAGCGGTTGCAATGGTTGTTGGAAACACGTAGCTCCTATGCTACGATCAAATTTATTGCATTACCTTTTCAAACACAATCCTGATGAATAGGCAAAAAACATAGTGACCGCCGTTTCCAGTTGGTTCACTTTGTACATAACCCATCTGCTACTTATTTCCACCGCTCTTAGGTCAACATTTTTTCCTTTTCCAAGCTCCGACAATGATGAATTATGTGCTATTCCTTAACTGATTTCAATGTACTATCGGATAACTCAGTTCAAGAACACATCTCACTGGTGAGCATCATTTCTTGCTCATGATTTCAAAACTTGAGACTCCCAGCTTCAACTAAAGCCCCATCATTTGCATTACTCATGGGAAGATACTGCGTCCACAATATCACCTGAATTGTTTTGGTCATTTTGCATACTCACATAACTTTTGGTTAGTACCTCCACAAATTTGCTCACGTGAATTCAGCACCTAGCTGGGGATGGTTTGGCTGCTCACAAATTTGAGGATCCCGAGTTCAGATAGGGTGGAGATAGGTAGAAGTAAGGGGTAGCCAGGCATCGTGTGTACTACACAACTCTTCCATCCTCTCGTCGTGAACAGTTGAGCGTTCGGCGTAATTTGTGCTACATTTTCCGCCTTGATGATTTCCCCGCTTACTTTTTCTCTCTTCTGTTCTTGATTGATGTTTCATGGCTGCTCAGTGTACACCGTAGTTAGACTATCCGTTTGCCGATCGGCCGGAACTTTATACCTGTCACTCCTGAATGTCGTCTTCGTTGTGGCTAGTTCTGTGAGCGCTGGTAGTATTCTTTTAATTGTGTTTCCCATTGTTTGTATTCAGTGGGAAAATGCTAATTTTTCTCGTCCTCCGTTTGCTGTGAGCCATTACGTGAACGGAATTGCGACTTGGCCAAGGAAGTGCTTGTCCAACCGGCACTTTTTCAGTGTACCGCTTTATGTCCTCCCCCTAGGTTGATCCTGTTAGCGTTTGTCCATCGATCCCAAAGTCGCACAACCTCGGATCCGATCCAGATACAATTGTTTCTACTCGTACCTATGATCTATATATCACCTATGACAAATATTACCAGACTCCGCGCATGTGGTTGTATGGCTATAATGAACACGGGGATCCTTTGACGGCAGATGAGATGTATGAGGACTTCAGGCAAGTTTATATTATTCCTCCCTTTAGACTTATCTGGCCATATTTACATATGAATATTTGTGGTTGGGGAACTAGATAGATTGTTTGTTAACTATTTTAATGTAATCATTTCGAAGACCTCCCAGTGTGCTTTCACCCTGTCTGACCGGCGTGTCTACAGCTGCGATCTACTAAAGGGTGATTATCAAGTTGGACAGGACGGGAGTTGAGAGATGAGAAAAAAAATTTAAAAAAAAGATGAAAAGCGGTTTTCGCTTATCCGCCGTTTGCAACGAATAAGGCTGATGTCACCATGCGACAGCCGATATGGTATAAAAATCCTTTTATCTGTAAATTTCATGGTTGTCTGTGAACTGAGATACTGCCGAGGTGTAGACAGGAGGACGATTAGGGTTCTCAACCAAAGCCTTTGGCTTCAAAACCTACCACATAGGACGATTAGGGTTCTCAACCAAAGCCTTTGGCTTCAAAACCCTACCACATGGCAGCGGTAATCAACGTGATGCTAGTCAGGCAGTCCGTGTCTTGAATAAGATATCTCCCCACTTGTTTCAACCCCCCACCTGCAGGTCTAAGAGACTGGATGTTTTATGGGTATCCTCCAGTATAACTGGGTACTGGGTTACTGAGGTACGAAAACCACCGCACCACGATAAGACCCAGTCTCTTCTCAACGGGTCTGTTCGCGTGTAGGCGTCGCTGTAACGCTAACAGGTGATAGTACGAGCTGTTAGTATGCGGTTCTGTTTTTCAGGTGAGGCGTACTCTACTGGAAGTCGTAGAGCTGTGCCGTACGCACTGACAGTCCTTTTCCTTTTGCCTAAGATTACTCAGTGTAGTGCTTCCATCCGTGACGGAGTGAGACCAAACGCAAGCAGCGAAGCTCTTAGCTGTTGGTAGAAGTGTTCTACGAGGTCGTTGGCAGCAAGATCGTAGGTCATCGGTTCCTATGAATATCCGACATCCCAGGTAAATAATGAAGATTCGAATTTCGGACCGCAGTTGTCTCTGTTGCGGGTCAGCCATAGTTCGCTACCCTGCTTTCAACGAACGCTGGAGCTACAGTCTCGGTCGGGACTTGGGGGACTGGGGATATTCCCTTGCCAACGAGCGAAGCGATTGACACACGCCACTGAATACAAGAACCGAACAGTATATGTACCGACGTTGCTAAACCAGGCATTGATGTTTAGCCAAACGAAGCGTTGGGTGATCAACCGGACGGGTGCACGATTGCGAGAGTGTGACAGACCGTGCAAAATTTCAAAAGCTGTATGTCGCATGATACTGGGCACGGCCGGATTCGGTCCAGCACCGCACAATCGCAGTGGCTTAGGCTCTCACCATCCGAGATTGCAACCCGGCTTTTTTGTCGACGGAAACGCTTTGTTCGCGAGTTGGACTTACCATGGTCTAACTCATCTCCCCTCACACACACAGTCAGTGCTACTACACCACAACCTGTTTTGACAACCCCAGGTCATGCTCTTGGTTACTTGAACTTGACAGGTAGTCACTACCATCTCTCCCTCGGTTTTTTGGTTCACTGTTTTCATGAATTTGTCAAATATTACTGTCTTAGCCTTTGTAACTTTATGGTGCAAGAACTACTTCCCGGAAAGATGTTCATAAACCCATCTGTTCTTCTTACACCGAATGAGAATTTTTAGCAGGGATTGGAGCTGGCTTCAGTGGGGAAGCAACCGATCTTGGGACTACTGTCGAAAGAAGTTGATTTTCCTGGCTCACTCAAGCAAAGCGAGTAGTCGCTGACGGATGTCCATTGTATCGAGGGATATGAAGAGCAAGGAGCCATCCAAGTGCCCACTTGGGTAAGACACCAGAACACGCATAATCACGCTTTAAGGCACATACTTGAAGAAATGGCGTGACATAAGAGTAGACATGAGAATGAATAAGGAAAGACGTGAAGAGCCATCGATGTGAAACTGCCGACTGCCGCGATGACCCACGTCTCCTATTACCGGATTTCGGGTCGCTGTCAGTAGTAGAATACATGGGGTAGAGGAAGATCAGGGCTTATGGAATGAATTAAGGTTGTCTCTCAAGCCGCGAGCGTTGCAGAGTGAAAGGAAGTGAATATGTTCTTTTTGGGTGGCTCTGGGCCTTAACCCTACTGTTATTTGTGAGTTCTCCTCCACAATGTCCACCCCTAAGATACAGTTACGTTTGTACGACTGTTCGAAGCTGGCGCCCATCAACGCTGGGTATTTTCTTATCCAAAGTAAAAGGTATACAGCACTTTCGTTCGAATTTCGCTCTGACCTGCGTTTTATCATTGTGAACTGCCGGTAACATAACGTCACCACTTAATGTTAACCACTACTGATGGTCACCGGAATGTCATTCTCAAACTTATGACGTCAACCACACACTAACCTACTGTATCAGCATAACTCTTGACATTTTCTAATAGCGAGTGCTGTCAATTCTCAAATTTCAGAATTCCATGGTAGTCGATTGCCGAGTATCTTTTGTACGACCTTTTGCAATCTTTGTCGAAATTCTTGATGTGCTGCTTATTTTTCCGATTCGATTATCAGCTGATTTCTGCTTCATCCACGCTTCACACAATCACATGGGGTATTTCCGTGAGTATGTGTGTCATCTGACTTCATAGCCTCTACGGGACCTAAATCAGGTTCTTCGTCATTCTAAAATGCCGTTTAACTCTTTTCACAAAGACGAAAAGAGTGAAGGATGAAGCATTTCACCAGTCACACGAACATCTCTGTATATTTTCTCATCAAATATCGTTATCAGTGTCTATCCAAATTGTTTGAGTGTGTATCCAGACAGCTCAAATGTTTATGTTGGATTAGCACCAGATAGCTTCCCTCTCTCTTGCTGTCTCTCAACAAACATGCAAGGCGTTGTTTTAACAGACAGATGTACAGTAGTAAAACGTTGACTTTTATCACTGGTGTCGCTGTCACCATGCCGCCGAGTTCTTTCAAAAATAACCCAGTCTTATTTAAGACTCTGGTCAAACGCTATCACTAATACTACACCACACTTGGCGCTCCTTTTCTCGAACAAACTTCCGATACCCATGGCGTACAGGTGCGATTAACTGTGACTGGATGAACTGTCGCCCCCTACAACCTCTTCAGTACATCATAAATTTTACATTGTGTTGTAGCCCCCTTAAAGAGCTAGTCCAACTATGCTTCACCTTTGAGTATTTCGCGGGCACGTTCAGGCCCAAACGAGGTCGGTCTCGTTTATAAAAAAATGTTCATGTGTAGCACCCTTTCGGTGCCTAACTGGCATACCACCCGAAGCTTGCACGAGGGCTGGGATAGTGACAGGTTGCCCAAGCCTAGACAGGGGAGTCGAGAGGTCGAGAGAGGTCGGGTTCGAACTACGGACCTTCCAGTCAGTAAATTCGCGCCCTAACCACTTGGGCCGTCTCGCCATCTCGTTTATGGGTGCTTCTGATGCGTAATATCAGAATATTTTTTCCTCCGAGATGACGGTCACCCGCACACGATACAATTGTTACTCTCCGAATGAAGTTGATATATTTCTTGCCAATCTAGTAGAGGACGAACTACCCATAGTTTTTGAGAAACCTTGATTCATGTTGTTACTGTCACCTTTTTGATATCTAGAAGAGACTGGGTTCATCATTTGAAGAGATCGTTTGTATACATCCGTTTCTGGCCCTGTCTAACACAATGCTATTTTGGTTCACTTTTTCCATCCAATCAGCCAAGACCATGCCAAGAAAACAGTGACAATGGAACAAAATCCTCACTTATCCGGCCCCCCAATGCCTTCCATTCACCCATGCCGTCAGGCCGATGTGATGAAGAAATTGATTGCAATTGTGGCAGATGGGGGAGCTGAGCTTGCAGTTCATCAGTATATGATGGTCTTCCTGAAATTTGTGCAGGCGGTCATCCCGACAATTGAATACGACTATACGCATAACTTCAATATGTCTTGAGCGCTCCGCAAGATTATCGAACGTTCGTCTTTCTATCCTATCGAGACTGCTTAACAAAGGACACTACTTGGTGTAATTCTCTGTGCCGTCCCGTATACCCTCTGACCCTCATCTGTCTAGGTCTACGCTTATCTTGCTGTCTGGTATCCGACGATGTGATACGGCTGATCGTGTGTTAAGTCACCACTAATTTTGATCAAAACACCATGGCTGTGGTGAAACAAATATAATCTTTCTACAGCGCTTTTTTCCTTCTGTAGTCCACTCGTCTGATGCTCTGGTATGGGGCTTTGCAACTGGTGTGTTTTTGTTGTCCCAGCAGACAGCAGGCCATATACAAGTTCTTGCGTGTTGAGCCTCATCCTCGTAATGGGGTCTCAAGTACAGGTACACGCTGTTTGAACATAACTTGCGTATGTCACTTCACGCCTGCTTAAGCCTAAGCTGTATAGTTCCGCGATTTTACTGTGCCTGAACATAACTGACGGTTACGGGCGATTGATCCAACTTGTACTCGGCTTGGCGGTAGCGCCGTTTATTTCGGTAAGCACTTTCCTTAGGTTTTTTATGTTCAGAATTCTCTGCAGAGCTAGTTGATAAGCCCACGTCGGCGGGAAGTTCATATAGATGTTACCGATTCATCGAAACTGCCTGACCCATTCGTTTATTGAAGGAAAACTGGACACCCGCACACAATCATGAACGAAGTACGATCACAGTTGCTTACTTAGTCTGGACTCCACAGTGCACTCTGTGCGAGTCGAGTCTGTTGCGTTACGTGTCCCCAATACCGAGTGCACGATTCCACACCAGAAGCTTATACTTGGCCCCGGAATACTCAGTCTTCCATTGGCTTGTTTCTCCGAAGTGCTCACACAGGCACCTAAATGTCAGGTCTCTCCTTCCGCCCAATAGGAGTTTTTCAGCACCTTTAGCTTAGCTTATGCGCAGTGCAAGTCTCAAAACCAAAATCTGCATAAGTCTCTTGTGTGCCTCCATTCATCGTTCACGATATCAATAGTAATAATTCGGATGCCACTCTTTGGCGGACAGCGGTCGCATAACTCGAAGGTCTCGACATGACCTGCGGGAAACCAAGGCTGGTCTCGATATGCCAACTATCCAAACATGAGCCCACTTTCTAATCTGTGAATCGTCCCCCCTAATAATCTGTGAGGTCCTCGTGGACCGATAACGTCCAACGTGGTCATCTTGCTCACTTGAAAACCGAAATTGTAGAACGAATCATAGGATGACCAAATTGGACAGCATCTCATCCTGAGTTAAGAAAGGAGAGGATTGCTTTCGATGTATTGTTTGCTGTGGTTGTTGGGCTTGCTGGACTGCCACTTGGCTAAAACATTACTTCGTTCCGCAATTACAAGATGCCTCTTAGTTTGCATGTTATTTAGTCTATTCATCCGAAGAAATGAATTCATGTTCCTGTACCGGTCAGTAGGTGTTAATAGTTGTTCCAAATACGTGAATTTTCACCCAGTTACATAAACTGGTAGTTTCTTATGGGTTTAACCCTTTACCACAGAATATCATGATGTTTATTTTCCCTCCATTTTGAACAACCTAACGACCCGCCTTTTTACTAATACTTTGACAACCTTTTGTGCGTGGAAAATGCGGAATAGCCATGTCACAGATGCGCCGCCTGTCCATGTTAAATGTATGCTTGTCAATAGAGTATTTGGATTTACGAGCGCTTATTTCCACGACAGTTCAACATTGTCGTTTTCGGTCTACCTGTACATAACGTCGGTAAACAGGACAACGGTAATCACGCATCACAAAGATGGGCTGTTCTATCTTCTCCCAAACTCTCCAGTATTGCGTAGCCATATTCTCCACCACGTTAGGCTTTTCGGTTGTATGGATTTCTTTCTGCAGCTAAAGACAACCCACGCTGAAAAGCGGCGAAGCATCGGCAGTTTTTCAATCCGCGTTAAGATGCATCGGCAGTATTCCTTTCGACAATTTCTAGGGTGATTCGCACAGCACCCAACTATTAGAGGAGCGGATAAGACGAGTTTTTTCAATCGAACTGGTTCTGAATTCGTCCTATTTTCTGTTTGAAGAAAGCAGTATCCCTGTCGGTCACTGAAATTGCTTGTAAGTGTCAGTATTATTATGGTATTCAAGTGAACCTTTGGATTTAGACAACATCCAAGAGAGGAGAGAGCTGTATTCAGCCTGAGAGGTTGAGAATCACTGGTTTATTTTCAGGCCGGTTAACCAGCCGGATTAGAATCTTCGTTTAAGCCCTGGAGATTGCTCCCCATGTCTCCAACCAATTCAGTTGGCAATGAATTTTATGTGTTTTGGCGCTTCTCTACCTACTTGAATACAACTACGTGATTCCCTACTCTTTTAGGTACGCAATCTGTATATCACGGTTCTGCGGCTTTTTGTAAGACGATAGTTCTATTACCAAATGCCCTCGGATCCGTCAGTAAACCAAAAGGACAGACATGTTCAGAAAGCGCGCAAGTCTACGGCGCCCTCTACGTGCGGCAGTTCGGGATCCACTGGTTCTGGTGAGAATCGCGAACTCGATCGACTCAAATTTAGCAACCCTGGTAAAGCTATGAAAGATTTGCAGTTTCCATGGCGTGAAAGCAACCTGACTCGCAACTTCCGTAAGCAGTTGGCTTCCAGACACTACCGGAAGGATCGAAAGTGAGTTCAGTCACGCCCTTATTCTAAGCAAACATCTCTTGTGCCTATCAATCTGAGTCCAACGCGTTCAGCGACACTTTTTGCACCCCACGGATTGTCGTGCTTTCTGTTGGAGTGACCACTCTCCTAAGAACCTCTGTCCTCGTAATACCTAATAAATCCACCACAAATAACGTATTGTACCATACAAATACCATGCTGAGGAACCGTATATCAACCACTAGGTGTATACGCACATGGCTACTCCCACAATAACCACAGAATGGTTCTCTCTTCTACTTCTTCAGATTTTTCAGCTTGCAGCACCTGCCAGTTGATTTTGTGACACGTATGTAAATTGACGTTGCGTATTGATATGATGTTGACGGGGATAGTTCAAGCTTTCTTGTGAATTTCTTTTCATTCTGTACACTTACGAGCTCTGGAGAGTAAACGCACATCGCTTCGCCGTTTCTTGGCTTCCACCTCCATTCAGTACCTTCGCTACACTCGTTCGTTTGTTGTCAACAACGCAGAACACACTATTTGTCAGTCGCGGTTTTTCTACACTACTAAAAAAAATTTGAGTGATAGATTAGGGTGCTTCAAGACTTTTGGACTAAGTCAGCTTCCCGCGTGACCCAACAAGTGAAGTTGCCATTATTAAGCTCTCAATTTGTGCGCCGTTCTCTATGAATACGGAATAGCATGTATTCCCGGCCAACTTTTTCTCTACTTTACTTATCCACAAGTGATATAGTCCGCTCACGAGGACCCACATTCATGGGATGACCAAGTATGCCCTCGGAAAGTAATTTCTCCTGAGACTTTCTGCACTAGCTTTTGGTTGCTCCTAGATGTTTTCAACGGCTTACTTCAACTTTGTTAGGGCGTTTCTCTTTATGGCTCAAGTGTTCTGTATCCGTGCATGTTTGTGGCCGTAGCAACACGCTGAGCCCATGTCATGGTCGTCATCTCCGGTGACCTGACTTATTTTTAGGCGACCTGGTTATTTGTTCCGAAACAGTGTTGGATTACACTGAAGGGGATTCAGCTGCCACTCGACTTCACGTGTACCTGAAGCTATACGGAAGATCTGTAGTGACTTCATTTCTGTGGGGAGCGAACGGTGAGTTTTCCTTGCCAAACTGAATTAAAACGCGATTAACAGAACTAATTGCGAGATGGCCCAAAGTGGTTAGATTGCGAATTTACTGGCCGGAAAGTCCGTGGTTCGAACCCGACCACCGCCTCTCGACTTCCCCTGTCTAGGCTTGGGCAACTTGTCAGTAACCCAGCCCTCGTGCTTCCTTCAGGTGGCATGGCAGATAGACGCAGCTGAACGATTTTCTTCATTTCTATGGGCACTGGGCAACTCTGATCATTGGAAGAGACAATAGGAACAGCGGGTTTGGTAAAAACCGCGGGACTGTGATGAATGACAAATCGAAAAGTGGTAGGCTTTGCTCTGGTTCTGTCATGTAAAGAATCCAGAATAACGTGTATTCGGTAGCATTAAAGTGCAGTGATTTGGAAGGTTGCAGAGAATAGTACGAAACAATCGGTGAAGCGGTCACCATATGCTGAACGAGGTTATAGGTCGACACAGTCAGTCGAGATATACAAAGTAGACAAAACGGACTACGTCCATGAGAGATTTCCGATTATTACGGGAATGATTCAACAGTCAATTTTGGAATTAAACAAACAAACCGCAAATATTGCCAGCGAAAGAGGGCAAGCAGGCGCATACAATTCGTCGGCTAGCTGTAGTCATCCAGCTTCCTTCGAGGCTCGACAGTAAGTGTATAGGATATATTTATGATGGTTCAGCTTTTTTATGTGATTGTATTGATTGTGAAGACCAAGCCGAAAATTTGTGCGTGCGCAGTAACTGATTGATGCGCATAAAATAACTGAAAAACTAAAGCGTTCATTTGTCATGGTTTACCAGGTTTGCAAGCATCCTGAACTAAACAACCACTAGCCTTATATGGAAACTGAAATAGGAAAAATGTGCCGTTGCAAAGCACGAAGATTCCCTTGGTGTTTTAACAAGTCTATGGACTTTTATCTCGATGTAGGTCGGTCTATTGAGGGCGTCATTTTATCTTGGGGCGACGGTCGGAGGTCATTGACGGCGTGAACATCTCTGATCCGAACGAAAGCATAATTTGCTTGTTTCGAATCATCAAATTTTACTTATTTCCAAATATTGCCATATTGTACTGAAGGCAATGCTAATTTGCCATGGGTAACAGCACGAAGCTACTTTTGTGCACGGCAGATTACCAAATAATTGAAGATGACTTCATAACCGATTGTAGTCTGTTGACGCATTATTTTGTGCACTTCTCCTTTTACTGTATAGCCCAAGAGTGATTTCGGTTGAATTGTTTTCAACGATGCATCTATTCGCCTGGGACGCCAACGGGGCGTTATGTGTGCCTTTGAGTGACTACCTATGTGATCCCACACTACTAATTTGTTATTAATAACTAAATGTACCAATGATAGAGCGATGTACGCAAACTAATTTCCAAGTTGCCCTGTAAACACTATGCCATAATAAAAATTTCGTGGACATCAATAGATAGTCACAAAAACATCGTGCTCTCGAAACCCGGCACTCTGTGAATACCCAGCGACCGATACGCGTTGCCTGCTATGTATAACCATGCTATTCCCACTCAAGCTTGCTGTACCGTTGGTCGCACATGAATTTGTGATTCTTAGTGCGGTGAACACCAACGAATTATGAGTGCAAAATGAATGGCTGAGACCATTGTGACACTAATTCCGCAATAGCACTCAACCATATATCGCGCAGTTTACGGTGCATTGTAATTCGCGCCTAGATGTGCGATGACACTCGGTCTCGACAAACAGCGTTCCCGTAAACAATGCATTTTGTGACTACTCATTGTCTAGATACAGGCCTAATACGTCCACTGCATGCGGTTTGCTTTCACTGTATAATATAAGCATAGACTAGCTATATTTATCAGCATGGTTACACAATGAGGCTTCAAAACCGGACTTCACTGTTACTCGTACTTTATGGATCATCCTACCCAAATATAGGCAGAACCACAGAATCATATATACACAATTTATCAGCCTTCCCCAGTACGGTTCTTGATTACATTTTCACCTTTCAGTTCGATGTTAAAAACACGACAATGTGTTTGGTGTTGTGCACATTGCGTATATAAGCAACGCTTGTTAGAACGGACACGGTAATAGAAATTGTGGGACTTACTCTTGATGCTTGCTTCCTGATGCTTAGTTTGGACGTAAATTAATCTTTCACCGCAAATTCTCACGTTGTTGAAATGAGCTTGTATGTCATCCTATAAAAACTCGAAGAAGTAGCTCATAACATCGCCCATTGAAATCCATAGATGTTACCATCCAGTTCAGATCTTCAAATTGCAGCAGTACATTGGGACTCAAATCCGTATACCCTGTTCCGAACACACTGTCGTTCATCAGATAGATTGGTCGTACGCTTGTCAAACAGCTTTATCTCTCATTGAACGTCTACTCAAGTCTGGTTCTTTGTGGATCAATTACAATCCTAAATTTGCAGCATCGTGACAACCAGCCTTTCAGAAAACATGTTTCCAAGCCGTCCGAAAAACGCGGTTTGTCCAGCTCACAATGATCAATGGAGGGAAATTCCAATGAGATTGAAAAAAGTTTCAGCTGTTAAGAATTTCGGCAGACTGCTGCATGGTTGAGGTTGTCTTTCACACAGACCACCATCCATTGTTCGCTGTATTTGAATCTCCAAAAGCCATCTTGGTCCATAGTGGTAATCTCCCCCAAGGCTGAGCCACCGTGTCTGTTGGATAATCTTTTACCATAACCTACATGCCAGCATAATCTTTTGACCAAACAGGCTTTCAGTCACCTCTAGTATCCCAACACAAAAATCAGTAAGGAAGATGAAGATAGTAATTACATTCGTTTCAACTGGCGGCAAAGTTCCATTTTTTCAAGTCTACCCGGCATCTTATTTCTTCGCAAGAGAATACACATGACTCTCCGCTGCAGCAAGGTGTGTCAACACACCTTTTCTCTCAACTATGCTTTACCGATCGTCCTGGATAATTTAGGGTTAGGATACCATGATGTAATGCCGTACAAACTTTGACGTCAATTACTGAATCCTAGAATAAACAGAATGAAAGCCATCACTCGACTTTATACCCACGCTGGCTTTGGAAGACTCGTTCTTGCCTGCGGTCAGTGTACAATTGGTATTCCAACCCCCTATGAAATCACTGTTTTTTTCCTGGCCGTCGCTTGAAAAGCCATTGGAGTGGTGCGTTTGGATTTCGCTGATTTAATACGCAAGCAAATGGTGTCCACAGTCAGCCTGGTTTCGAATGTGGGAACGATATCCATTCCCAGCTTGAGGTTCCGGAACTTTTTTGACAGAAGGTGAAGCTCCGTTTTCAGCTCATTGGTTTGTTTTTTAATTATATCAACATTCGCGTGGCGCACCCCACCATCCACAGTCAAGTCAAACGTTTTGCTCATATCTTTGAACGGTAAATTATGAAGCTGGAAAGTAGCGGGGACACTTAACATTCATACCGGTCATACCCTGTAACGAGTTACCCAATCAACAGTCTGCAGCTAAGATATTCCTTGGATGACGTATGTGCTTGCCCCTGGATATCATGCTGTGGTCTTAGGATAAACCGCCATATGAAAAGATAATTCAGTGAACGACATGAGAACAGTTTCACGTTCTTCCACTTCAGTCGCTACGTTTGTATGGGAAATTTTCGGGTTAGCCGAGAAGGATGGACACTTAGTGCATCGGAAATGTATTAAATATAATTGGAATTGATTTGGATGCGTTGTGTCAATCAAACGATGCACAGTTACCAAAAGTATCCCCTCACTTCTCATTATTTTCACTGCTGTTTCGTCTGAAGACGATACTGAGCAGTGCGCCGAAAGAGAAAACGTGGCCGTTCCTTAGGTTCCTGGCCACCTATCAAAAAGAGTTCTTGAGTAGGAAGTTCACGAATATAGTACTTGGAAGAAAAATGTATAAATAGCACCTTTGGAAGCACACGTTTCTGTTGCAAGAGTAAGAATTTGTCTTTCAAGTATGGGCATGTTTAGCAAGACAAGGATGAAATCCAAATTACCGGATTGTACTCAGTGCTCCTCGTTCACCTCTCTGTAGTTGAAGTTCTCTGTTAACGCTCTCACACGTATTGGTACAGCCGAAGAACAGCGGCGTGCAACTTCTGTTCTTTCTGTCTGGTCAGAAAGTATCCGATTGTGTTTAGCATACAGCTCGACTGTCGGCGGGCCTATTTCTGTCACTTATCTCCAGACGGTGTTGCTGTCCTTCGAATTAGAAAGAACAGAAAGAAGAAATATATGTGACTGTTAACTTACCATTAATGAACATTTATTGGACCAGTCAGTGACTTTAACCAGAGCTGCGGGCAAATTTCTCGTCATCGCAACCTAAGATATCTACATCACTATCTTGTCTCTATCACCATTCAGTTCGTCGCCACCACTCTACGATTCGCGGGGGCGTAAGCTAGGATCTCTGGTCGATACATGTGACTGTCTGCGTGAAGACTGTCCTGGATGTCATCTTCCCTGTCGCCGATGTCACTCGACGTTTTGTGGCCCAGTTTGTCGAATATACCGGACGTTTACTTTTCAAGAGGTCAGTTCTGGGTCTCTGTGACCCTTTTATTCTGGATGTTTGCAAACCCCTTTTTACGTGCGTGTTTACCTGCCCTGACGAAAACTGAAAGGTTTACAGTTTATTTTTCTTTCCAGGCCAAACTGTTCATCTAGAACTCACCGCTACCATCTCACATGGAATTTGTAAAAATTCGCTTTGAATATTTGCGAACTACACAGAAGCATTGTTAATGGGTAACTGGATGTTGATTCCCCCCAGCTGTCCTGTGTTTCATGAGTTTTAAACGACCCTGGTGCAGCTCCGTGCCTTCTGATTATTGTGGAAAAACATGAGCTTCATGATCAATATGGAAGACCTACTTCAGTCCGCATGCATACTTATTTGAGCACCTGCAACCTAAGTAATTGTCGGAAACCGTGTGCTGCAATATTGCGGTGGAGGCGTTTTTGGCAAAAAACCTGCCAACCTGACGCCTTCTGCATTGGTTGCAGTTTCTCCACACAAAATCTATTTACTCTACTTTCGAAGCACCCCGCATGCATTCCTTAAATGGTGGCGTTTTGCTACCCCTTGAGTATGATCCCTTATTTCTTCTTCTTCGATCCATCTAAGACCGCGCTGGTTCCATTCCTCTAAACAATTCTCAGCGTGTCTTTGCATTACCCTCTGTCGGCAAAATTGTTATCCCAAATACTTTTTGCATTTTCCGGTCCATGTATTTTCTTAAACATCCTCGATTTTCACGTCCTTTCAACTAGGTAGATGTAGAAGATCGTAACGACCAAATCTACATACTCTGCTCCATATCGTATGATGCTTGCCCAAAATTGTTGACCAGGTGGTCTAGTGCGTAAATTGGCGGCTTCTTGGACCGCTCAGTATTTCATAATTGAAATAGCTGTTTTGGAAACTAGTTTTTGAGGCTGCGACTTTCCGAAACGTTACGTGTGGAGTAGGTGCATTTCCAATGAGTTTTTATTACGGTTTATTTGGGCCAACTTTCACAACCACTTGTGGAATTCGTCGCTAAGAATTCTCGTCTAATTGAAACTGATTGGAGGGACCGGAAAATCAGACTAGGGTGTGGGCTCTTAACTTGTTTAGATTTTCTGAAAGCAAGTGTCGTTATGCGACTGCCTGTTCCCCAGACACGAAATCACCTTCGTCCTGGTTCTAACCGTCTTTGGTTCTTAATTACCCTAGTCGTGATGCATGCACGAATTGGTTTTACAGACCATGAGCAGAAAGCAATACAGCGTGTGTTTGGCAATTTGTCTTTTATTCGCATAGTGGCTAGTCGCATTTGCCGGTCAATTTGCTGTATTGTCAAATTTTCAGGAAACTGTCACTACCCAGTGGGACGGAGTAACACTCCTGGGATCTGTTATTCGTCTGGTTTGTATTGTTGACTTTCCAACACCGACTACACCAAGTGGAGACTCTCTAGTCCTTCCTCGATGCAAAACTTATCGAGCGGTGGTACGTATCTAGCGTAAGAAGGGCGTCATAAGCACTTAACTTTACACACTGACTGTGAATTGAGTTGGCTAATTTAGTATATCTGGTTCTCACAATAACCCAGAAAAACCGCATACGGCTTTAAATGCTGGCCAACATATGCACAAGAACGTTGACACGGACAGTCACGTGCTCGCCTTCGTCGAGGTGATTTTCGAGCAAGAGGACCCCCAAAACCCAGGAAACCTCCTCACTTCTCCCATTTTGTTTTAATATCACCCACATACCTTAGCACGTTTTGCAAAGAGGACCCTACTGGGACAGACTGGTCATGCCCATCGGTCTATGTCGAGTATCGCCGTCCTTCACGCCCCCCTGGAATGCTCCCAAGTCACCTTGTTGCCATACAGTCCTTGATGAGGTAGCACAAACCATCACCTCCATGGCGGGGATGCTTTCAGAAAAGCTGAAACACGAGGGCTGATATTGACCGCTACGGCTTGGTTAACGGTCCATTGCTCTTCTGCCCCGGCTCCACCTGATTCGTGTTGATGCATTCTTATCGCATATGGGTTTTTGACGGAAGGCTGCCCCGTAAAGACTCCTCTTTTGTATTTCACTTACTTTTTCTCGTTATATTCTGTTCTGTGCCAGGACTGACAGCCCCGTTTATCTTGCCCCCGTTTTGGCCACAGTATCTGCGCAACAGCGGGTGCTAACAGCCTCAGATATCTCGAAATCTGTCTTCAAGCCTCGACATACAATCTGTATCAAAACCTTTAATGTTCGAAGCAAGAATGGCAAGTCGCTGTTGCTCTCATTGAATCCGCTTAATATTGATGTTTGCTAGTCGTTAGTTTGTTCTCTGAGCTGGACAATCTGAATGCAGACATCTCAACCGAGGTGGCATCATCAGTGCGTTTTTTGGCGCGTAGCGATGGATCGGCGGTTGTGCCCATCGCTAAGGACGCACTGTTGATGTCACCTCGATTGGTGATAAAACGTTTGCAATCAAATTGTCCAGCTCGGCGAACAAACGACCGTCTACGCTGCCTGAGCTACCAACATTATCCGCAACTAATGCGTACAGTACATTGGACACAATAATTCAGGATGTAGGCACAGTGGTTGAACTAGCTGCCTTATCTATCTCCACTCACTTCCAACTGTACACCTCTAGCCACTCGGCGGTCCCTGTAGCAACATGTACAGGGGATGATATCGCCCTACACGATGTAAGCACAGTGGTTGAACTAACTGCCTTATCTACCTCCGCTCGCTTCCAACTGTACACCTCTAGCGACCCAGAAGTCCCTATAGCAAGATGTACGGGGGATGGTATCGCCCTACATCACCGTGCGTAAGGTTCCTTGCTTCACTGGATACCCGTTGATAGTTGTCTCTGCGAGAATCTGTGGTGATTCGGTCAGGTATTGAGTGCATCGAATCGTTGCTTGCCACAAAGAGTGCTGTTTTCACAATGGGACAAACATAGAGGTGGTCAATCTTTGACCATGTCAGCAAACATGAAATTTCTAGGTGGTCTCCATGGATTGCCTTCCGGAATGAGTTTCATGTGGTCTCCTTGTGCATCGTTAGAGACGCTGCGAGATATGATTGCTAATCGATGTTAGTGGCGTTATTGTTGTCAGTTTCTATCCAGAATGTCTGAATAATGAGTCACTCCATAATGATTGTGATGGACTAGCACCTGGTCCATTGTTCACCTCACAGTAGAGTTTTCCAATAAGTTATGGTAGTCTGTTGTCAGTTTCTATCCAGAATGTCTGAATAATGAGTCACTCCATAATGATTGTGGTGGACTAGCACCTGGTCCATTGTTCGCCTCACAATAGAGTTTTCCAATAAATTATGGTAGTCCGACAACGAAATATCAGTGTTGAACACTGATGTGCTGTTGATGATGATGCTGATGCCCCGCAACACCTAGTGAGATTGCGGCCATGTGCTGCTTGGATCGCGGAACCACAATCCTCCCATCGCTTAAACAGTACCTCCGTCGTCTAAATTCCTGTGGACCTTTGACCCATTCTTTCTGCAAAGCGTTCTTTAGCGGGGTGTTGCAATCTACAGGTCCTTGGGTACATCACCTAAGTTTAGGGGTTTTCGGGAAGACACAAGTAGCCAAAGATACACAGAGTCAAATATTTGTGGTTACGACTTTAAGCACCTATTTTTGTAACGGCCAGATCATGCCTCTTTTAATGTGCTCCCTAGAGGTTGGGAAATAAACCTATTATTGTTAATGCTTTTGTGCAGTGATGTTTGTTATGACCTTTTAAGTTACTCTGATCGCACCTTTGCTACCACTCGTCATGTGGAATAATACTCTTCCACGCATTTCTGCTGTAGAGGAATTCTTTTTTGGGAGGTGCTGTCTGAAGCACTGGCAGCTCTTCAGATGTATTCCGTCCGTTGGCACCCTCAGATCTAAAGTGGCTGGTAGAGAAAGTCAGCAGTCATTCTTGAACGAATCGTGTCCGAAGCTGTGTAACGACACAGAAAAAAGGCAGTGCATCAAGTGTGTACGCAATACAGTCTGAATGCACAATTTCATGACCTAACGAATAAGCCCCTTAGTGGATCATGACAACACAGTCGGCTGTAGACAGAACAAAATCAGTTGGGATGATATTTATCGGTTTTTACCTTTCTCGGCCCTAGATGATCTGTGGTACCTGGATGGGGTCTGTAACTACCACGCTATGGCTTGCCGGAGGGACCGGCCGAAATTAACGGATGACGTAGTAGCGCGAAATTAACCGAATTAACGGCTGCTGTTATCGGCCGCCATTTGAGGGGGGTTGACCTTTGAAAATCAGGAAAACGAGCGGAAGTCGCTGAGGCTGGGCAGAAAATAAGTTATCCGGACCTATAGCGCATTCCACATCTAGACTGGTGGGAGTATTAAACCTGGTCGGCGTAACTAGGTGGTTTCTCTTTAACAGTGGTTTGTTTATTTGGGAGAGGTTTCGGAATCACCAAGTCCTTCCACATTTAGGCTCCCAGTTGTCTTTGTCGGCCGATCCTCGGTATTCAGTTTTACTGTCACCCAAATGTTCGATGCCGCGTATAAATTTCTGTTCGGAACTGTTGAGTTTCGTTTCCAGCATTCTTAGGTTAGATCGGTAACGTCATTTCATCTTTCATGTTCATATTGGCAACACTCTCATCTCGCTAGTAATATGATTGTTAGGGATTTCCACTACTTTATTCCGCTTCCCGCCACCTTTTTGGTATCACAGTGTAATATCGTCAAACTGGGAGGTACATCTGTTATTGGTAATCCATATGTAAGTAAGAAGGACTGCAGCGTGCAACCTAGTGGCCAAAAAAAATATTTTCTGGTCTATACTATACAGAACACGAAGATAACAGAAGTTAATCCATCCCCTTGTTGTGTACGTTCTGTACACCTTGAGCTTTTTGTGCCATGCAATTTCTTTGCAACCTCTGAATCCAAGTGCTTGTAGCTAGTTGATTTCGGATGCGAATTTAAAAGGGTCACAAATGGATGAAGAAACAGAATTTATATTGAACATGATCTTGCCGTAGTACGAGTGATGACGGGAGTTTTGGATTACCTTCGAGGCTTGAATCTCGTCGTATTATGCTGTACAAAATATTAAAACAATAAATGTACCCTCCCTCCTCCAGACTTTAACGTAAGGCGGGTAGCAGGCGAAGAAAAATGTCAAGGTAAGCAATCACTAGAATGCGTGTTTGGGTGAACCACATCAAAAGCATGGAGACAAGGTTTGCAGATTTACTGGGTACAGCTATTATTCGACGATTATGGTCGACAGGTGATCTGCTGTTGCTAGTGAAATGGCAGCCCACAAATTTCGCTGGGACAGACTTTGTCTTACTGAACTTCAATAAGCTGGTCGGTGATATTGAAAACCTCAGCTTTGAGTCGGACTGTGTATAGCCTATGGCTGGATGCTGTGACAAATGTACAAGATACTAATGAGTGGAAGGTACCTGTTGGATTTCGAATACAAAGAGTGTATGTTTGTGAATGAGGTAAAATGGAAGTTCAGTTGTGAAGGCGATGGATGTAGGCTTATTCGCTGCAGAGTTGTGCGTGAGAGCCATCACATGCTTCTGTTTGGTGAGTTAAAAAAGCACCGTCAAATATCCCGGTGAGTGGCGGATGCCGAGTGCATTTCAGAAGACAGCACCAGGAGCCAACTACGTGGGCAGTTCTGCACACCGTGATCCGTCGTCAGAAAAGCCAGACTTGATGGGTGCTTAGCCAGAGTGAGTGGGCAGG